TCTGATTGATCAGATTGCCTTACCCACCTCGGTCACTTTGAAGAATTTGGATTTAAAATAATAAAAGCCAGCACATTTTTTTTTTCTCTTATACAAAAGAGAAGCCTATTTTAATTAGGCTTTGTTTCCAAGGGCTCCCCTCACCTGTGAATATTTCACCACCACCTGGTTTGGTACCATACTTCTCATTGAGGTGCTTTTTGATACTGAACTTCCTTAAAAGTACAGTGCCTTCTCGGATAGTATGTATATGTCAGAGAGATCAAAGCTGACATGACACAGTTTACACCAATCTTTAAGCATTTAAAAAGTTGAGTCCCTGCCAGGTTTCTTTGTCTTGAAACTTATAGGGCAAGGTGTGTGCCACTTGTTACTTAGCAGGTAAATGATTTTGTTTCCATTGACTAGACAGAGCAGCTGTTGTTACACTGGCTTTCACCTGATTCTGATAAAATTGTCTGAAATAACCGTTGCTAGAAATACTTCTACAGCCTTTATTAAAACTCCTGAAATCCCAAGCAGATGACAACTCCCCACAGCACAGCTGGGCATTATCTTGTGTGAATGCCAACAGCCTGGCCTGGGCTGTAGCCTCTCCTACAAATGTGGATCGCGCATTGGACTTCAACAGTATTATTCTTTCTCTTGCCAGTGAAACCTCATTCCTAGTCTACAGATCAGCCTGTCTCATGACCCAGAGCCACACGAGTCCTTAAGAAATTTACATTTTTCAGGAAGTCTTGCCAAATTCTACATGGCTGGGAAGATCTTTTCCCTTTTTTTTAAACCGCATGTAGTATGGACCCTTTTCCAATTAAATCAGCAGAAATAAAACAGACCTCGCCACAAATGACATTTCCTTTCTCAAAGGCACTTTCGGCTGCATTGCTTGTGGTGTTGCATCACTTACTAGAACTACTTCTGAAAACAAATTTAAAAGGTTTTTAAAAAACAAAGGAATGATGCAACTGTGCCACAGGAGCACTGGGGAGAATTCATCTGAGAAGTAGTTCTAATGATACTAAGTGAATAGTAGTTCTAGTAATACTAAGTGAGTTTTAGACTCCTCATATTACTTCTTGGTAGTTTAACATCATCCAATGACAGTGTTGCTCTCGATCACTTCACGGTATAATATGGAGCAGAGATTCTTGTTTATGCCTGGTCAGTCCCTTAAAGCGTGCCATTAGTTATTTATAGGTATTAAAAAATAGTTGTTACTCTACAGGTAGATAGCTAATTTCAGTACACTGCTCAAGTCATTCGCAATACAAAAGCTGTTCAGCAGTCATGACCGGAAGTCGAGCATGGGTGAACGCTAGCAGTCGCGGTGTTGGAGCACCCCTCCAGTGCCTGCTGTGCAGCACGGACACCGTCTCGGCCCGGACGATCTATGGAGCAAACCAGGCCCAGCTCCCAGCCTGCGCGTGTCTGTGCCCAGTGCACCTTCAAGCCACATGCCGGATGGATACGGAGGTGATCTCTGAGCTGCCGTGCAACAAACAAGGTCAACTTCTGCCAATGTTAGAAAGGGATTGTTTTAATCTAGCCTCTTCTTGCATTCACCTGCTCCTCCAACCCACGTCCACCGTATTTTAATTTAAAACGGGTAATTAACTTTTCTTGTGAGTATTTAATTTAAAAAAACCAAAAGTCAGCAGAAATAAAACAGACCTTGCCACAAATGACATTTCCTTTCTCAAAGGCAGTTTTGGCTGCATTGCTTGTGGTGTTGCATCACTTACTAGAACTACTTCTGAAAACAAATTTAAAAGGTATTTTAAAAAACAAAGGAATGATGCAACTGTGCCACAGGAGCACTGGGGAGAATTCATCTGAGAAGTAGTTCTAATGATACTAAGTGAATAGTAGTTCTAGTAATACTAAGTGAGTTTTAGACTCCTCATATTACTTCTTGGTAGTTTAACATCATCCAATGACAGTGTTGCTCTCGATCACTTCACGGTATAATATGGAGCAGAGATTCTTGTTTATGCCTGGTCAGTCCCTTAAAGCGTGCCATTAGTTATTTATAGGTATTAAAAAATAGTTGTTACTCTACAGGTAGATAGCTAATTTCAGTACACTGCTCAAGTCATTCGCAATACAAAAGCTGTTCAGCAGTCATGACCGGAAGCCCAGGGCCAGCCTCGAGCATGGGTGAACGCTAGCAGTCGCGGTGTTGGAGCACCCCTCCAGTGCCTGCTGTGCAGCACGGACACCGCCTCGGCCCGGACGATCTATGGAGCAAACCAGGCCCAGCTCCCAGCCTGCGCGTGTCTGTGCCCAGTGCACCTTCAAGCCACATGCCGGATGGATACGGAGGTGATCTCTGAGCTGCCGTGCAACAAACAAGGTCAACTTCTGCCAATGTTAGAAAGGGATTGTTTTAATCTAGCCTCTTCTTGCATTCACCTGCTCCTCCAACCCACGTCCACCGTATTTTAATTTAAAACGGGTAATTAACTTTTCTTGTGAGTATTTAATTTAAAAAAACCAAAAGTTATGGTCTGGAGCCATTTCTGCCAACTGCCTGCACAAAGCAAGGCTTTAACAAATCAAAATTACTAGCACAAAGTGGTGTCTGAGGACAGAAATCACAGCCAGCACGTCCTGTCTGCACCTGTGTTTTTCTCCTTGTTGTTTTCCCGTACACACAAACATTCCATCGGAAGGGCACGCGCTTGGCTTGTACGGCAGGTCCAGCACAGCTGCAAGGCGAGGCAAACCGTCCTTCTGCTGTTCCTCCCGAGCCCCCTGCTGGAGCGTGCGCCACGGAGGCTGGGCCACCAGCTCGGCTGTGCTCTTGTGGGCTCTGCGGTTGGAAAAGGGGGGACTAGGAAGGGTAAGAGTAGCATGTAAATCAGCTAAAGATTAATTACAAAACAGATTTACAGTTTTAGCTTTTCTTAGGTGGGTAGCAATCCAATGTCCATGTCACCACTGCCAACAAATCTTGACGCAGTATTAGGGTCACAAATGCTGCTCTGGCTTGAGCACTTGACTGGTCAGAATAAGGTCAGTTCTTCCAAAAGGTATAGAGGGCATACACTGCTTTGGCTTAGACATAAACAATGACCAACCTTCATTTACATTACTTACTGACCTCTGCTGTGATCTATGGAACACTTAAAAAATTTTAATAGTGCGGGTTTTTTTAAGTACAAAGGAGGTATTTTCAGTGGCATGTTTTGCTTTTGTCTGCATTTGTAACCAAGAACCAGCTTTTCTGCTTGTTGCTGGTATACTATCAACTTGCTCTGCAACAACATAATCAACTAACTTGCAAGAATATCCATGTTCATCACACAGCACAGATAGAAGACAGGCTGGGAAGAAATACAGAAAAAAAAAATCAGATTTTCTTTTCTCAGGGTTCTGTTTTTCTAGCAAGTGAGAAGATGGTATATATTGCAGATTTTTTTTTTTTCTGGATGAGGTTTTTCAGGTGTAGGGTGCACTCATTAAATTTGACAGCTGTTTAAGTTGTTCCTGAAGTTCACCTCAGCAGTAGCTTTCAAAAATATTAAAAAAAAAAAAAAAAGATAAATCAGCTTAAAGCTAATTTAATTAATTTCATGAGGGCGCTGCGGAGTGTAACTGCTTCTTAATGTACATGCACTGCATAGGATCTAGAAGAATTTGCTGTGGATTCTTTAAAACCTGTGTGCTGATTAGTTCAGTTTGGTTTTGTGGTATTGAAGAATTCTTCAAACATCTGTGATTTGATTGACTTCGTAAACTTGTATTCTGTAAAGTGCCATAGACTTTTTTTTTTTAAATTGTAGCATATTTAAAAAAAAAATATATATATATACACAAACTTGTGTGAGATGTGCAATACCAGGAATGGGTTTTGTTGTGGGTTCCCCCCCGCCCTTAGTTTTTGCTTTTAAACAAGATATTTGAAAAGGGACTTCCCAGGGAAGAAGGAGCTGGAGTTTTGGTGGTGTGGACAAACTAAAGCATACAGTAATGCAATAGAATCACTGATTTTGAAGATTAATGCAACAGTAGTAACAGCAGCTTAAAGATTTAACAAAAATCTCTTCTAGATTGATTTGAAATACTCAGATCTATATAATATAGACAATTCAAATGTGAAGCTGTGTCCATCTCTGGGAATATGCAATCTAAAAGCTGAAAAGGCTCAGCAAGGTTTCTTAATGTGCTTTATTTATAATGTGGCACTGCAAAAAACATTGCTACTGAGCTATTTATGGGTTGTCTATATCACCTTTGTATCTATTTTACTCAATAAAGTTCTCTGGATTCTGAGATGTTTTTTCCAGCCAAATCATTTCCATTTTGCATTGTTACCCCACATCAGAATATCTCACATCCTAGTGGTAAACGGAGAAGAGTTCAAGTCTTCCTTGAAAGCAGTGGGCACTGGTGCCTACCTCAAGGAAAGGACAGAGCATGGCAGCAACGTATACACCACAGCTGCTTTGTATAGGAAGAGCAGCTGAGGCAATCCAGCTAGAGTAGATTTTGAGCCATGGTTTATTTGTGGTACTGTTTTTCTGTTCTTGAGTCACCACTATGTACATTTGTTAGCATGAATGATGTACCTAATGTGTTATTTTTAATCTAAATTTCAATTAAAATGTGAGTTTCCAAACTTCAACAGGAGTCTGACTACTTTGATTCAAACATATTGGACAGGTTGAGCCACAGCAAGGTACCTTTAATTGTAGCTTTAATAGCATTTAAGATCCCAGCCCACTGACATTGTTAGCGTTTCAGATTTCCATCTGAGTTTAACAATTATTACCGCTTACTGATCAAAAAGTATGTGATCTGAAATTGTAGCTATGTGTTATTCAGTACAGTTGCATTAAAGAGACTTTCTAATTGACTATATGCCTGACAAATGTTTTTCATTTTGCAACTACAGCACTGGAGTGCCTTTCTCATGAAAAGG